CAGCCGAACCTGCCGCGTAGCGGCAGAGAGCGGCTGGTAAGAAATAATTAAGCTATAAAAGAAAAGCAAGCGGACAAGAGCGCTCCAAAAGCGATTGAAGATACACCTAAACCGACCTCGGCAACGTGTATTGACGGGAGCGCGATGAATGAAAACATCAATCGGCAATCAGTGGGTTGCGACGACGAAAAGTCGCTATCAATTCAAAAGTGAGAAACTGCCAGAACTCCGAGAACAAAAGCCATTCAATATTTCGAGCTGTCATTACGAAATATTCTCATCCGTATTTGCGCGAGGTAAGAATACATGAGGGAGGTGGCGTCGATAAAAGAGGAGACAGATGCCGAGGAGGACAAAAGTCACAGATCACTTTCCAGACCTAACTTGGCCTGGGGTCGGCAGCTAGTAGTCAGTACTATGACTCCTTTACTGCCAACTAGAACATACCTTTCCTTCAGGACGAGTGCACATCGAATACAAATGTATAATGTTTGGAGTGAGCTTGACTATAACGTGGTGACATTTGACTATCGAGGTGTGTTGTTATTTCTAAACGTTGTCTATCTATATCTCTTTTCTTCTGCTGCTTTGTTTTTAAGTCATAAGTGTTTTGGTTTGATTGATCTCGTACATTAGGCTATGGCGACTCAGAAGGCACTATATCGGAGCGCGGGATAGTCAGTGATAGTCGCCTCGTCTATAAGTATGTACTACATCATAGCGGTAAGAATACTGTCCTAATATGGGGCCACTCCATGGGTACAGGGTATGTGGGCATTAGTTTTTATTTTTATTCTCTCTATTTCTATCTATATATTCAGCGTTGCCGTTCACTTAGTAAGTGACCTCTGCCTCGATAAAACACCTCCTGATGGTCTCGTTCTTGAGTCACCGTTTAACAATTTTAAAGATTTCACGATAAGCAGCATAAAGGGCAAAGTATGTCGCATCTTTATTTGGTCGATCACAAAAAAAAGAAAGAATTTTTAGCCATTAAGTTGGATGTTTCAAGAAATGCTGCAAAGATATCTTCTGGACCCCCTCAAAAAAGCTGGGATTGATATGAACTCGGATGAACGGATTTCAAAGTGTGTTGAAATGCCAATTTTTCGTCAGGCATTATTGGAGGCTATTCTTTCCCTTTACTTTGATCTGATACTAATATGGTTATTTCACTTTGCTGATGGCCGAAAAAAGAGAACGAGTAGGAAAGGAAGAAAAAACGGAAATTTTAACTCCAAACAGAAGTTGATAGGGATAAAATGGCACATTGTGAGATAGCGATATGAAATGCTAGATAACACTCCAACGCTTACAAATCTCAAGGATTGAGTAGAATGTAGCGTCTTCATAGTCTTTATACTAACTATCATCGTCAGTCCAAGTAATAATCGAAGTTTTGCTCATAATTTTTGCTCAGTTTCAAAGACCTCGCAAGCAAAGTTTGAGAGAATCTCCTCTTCATTCTTTCACTTGTAATAAAATTTCTCCAGTCGAATGAGGAGGTTTCAAGCTGAATTTCTTTCCGGAAATTTTGTGTTTCAAAAATCTATGTGTGATAAACTAAGATCTGGCTCTTCTTCAAAAGCACCTTTTAGGATGTGCTAGTATTTAAGAATCACATCTTGAAAGCCATTAATCTTAGCAGAATTTACTTCCTTTTACGAACTTGTTAAAAGTTACCAGCATGACTGTTCATAACAGAACCGTAGATCAAATTACAACCCGGTTGTTTAGGAATCTTGTCATGACTGCATAATCTTGTTCAGTTGATGGCGTCCCATTGTAAGATAGGTTTTGGCGTCTTTGCTTTCTTCAAAGCCAGAAAATTTCAAAGATATATGTCACTAACCTCCAAACGCTTAGTTACCACATCGTACTACTCAACAGCCAACAGAGCCAGAAACAAAAAAGGAAACGCTAATAAGGCTAAAGCTCACCTTATAACCGCGAGAGGAAGCGATCACTGAGTAAAGCTGCGCCTCTACTAATGATGTTATAGATACGTTAATCGCTCTTTTGCGCTTGACCCGGCACCCATCCAGTAGATCAAAATCCATAGAGGGTATAGAACGGTGACAGCTCGTGTGACGACAATGCAATCTTCTATTTTACTCATTATGATTTCGAGAACATAACCACAGCGCCTCAAGTGTTCTCAACGCTAATTCGCTTTTCCCGCGTTCAACTACTCATGCTAACCTTTCACACCCGGGCCACACTCACGTGCTAATGTTCCTTGAATTAGAGTTGAATTCCAGTATAACGTGTCCAATACTGATGATGCATGCTGAGAATGACCACGTTGTTCCAGTCACTTTGGGAAGAAAGCTCAGTGTATTGTTTGGGTTGTAAAACGCCTATTGCTGCATAACGACAGACTTTTACAGGATGCTGCAGTGGCTTCAAAGCGCGATATCAAGTACGTAGAGTTTCCAGCGGCTAGGAATTATAAACACCACTGCATCTATCTAGCGCCTGAGCTCGTTACTCTCATACCGTAAGTTCCAATTCTGCATCGCGACCTCCTTCACTCCCTTAACTAATTTCTTATTATGTTGGCAAAGTGATGCAACTTCTTCTATAATTTTCTTGAAGAAAAGAGAGAAAACCTTAAAAAAGAGAAAATTTACACATTCTTTCAACTGATTGAGTTTGAAATTTTTCATGTCTTGAGCGAGACAGAAAATCTTTACACGCTTTTTTTAAGAACAGCGATTTAATGTCGCTATTTGTTGCCAAAGGTTGGTTTACAAGGATGAAAACGCAAAATCAAGAATTATGGCGCCTTCAGAAGTCGAGCGAGTCGTTGCGTCAACGAACATGCGGGCATTCCTCAGTACGAAGCAGACGGAATCATAGAATTTGCCGTGGCCACACAATTATATGATTTCTTGCGTCTAGCACACACCATAATCGTTCGTTGTCGAGATGAAAATTTTTTGGAGCTCTACTAGAAAGGCGGGCCCAACCATGCAGAGCGGAGAAAATTCTCGTAAATAGCATTCCGAATACACTTCCCTCTTTCACTCAGAGCAAGTTTCAGCCAAATCCGTAATTTTAAATGTTTTGATGAAGTTTATTTATGGTGAGCTTAATGGCAGAATTTGGCAGCACAATAGCTGCATCTATAGCTCTCATCGTGATCTACATAATGCTAAATTCGAACTTGTACCAAAAAAGGGGAACTCATGAAAAGATGTTGCATTACTTAACTGCCAACCCAGTATGCTGACATAATCGCCTTATACCACATCTTACGTTGTATATGTAGGGAGTTCATCGCTCACGTAAAACAAGCGAAGAGGAAAAGAAGATAGGAGCTACATTACCTGCATCTCACATCGCTCACGATCATATAATGTTGGTACTAAATCAGTCCGATTCCAAACTGCTGACCAGCTGAGTCCATGCGCCTTTCCGTGGTTCACTTTTAGATACATTATCCATTAAAGGGTCTTCCAAAAGTCTTTGAGCATAAGGTTTTTAGCTAAAATGTAAGCGAAGCAACATAGACTATAAAATTATATAAAGGGCTACGTGTACGTGTACCCGCAGACTTTACGGAACAACTCCTTATAGCAAACGTGCAGTTAGAGTCAAGATTGCATCGCTCTCTGCAGTAGGCGCTCAAGACCGTCCAGTTGTTGGTGGAAGTATAGCTTTTTTAGTGGCTTTGAGATTTGTAGATTAAAAACACGTCAATATACTATCAGGTCTTTACGATATTGCAATGCTGTTGAAATGTTG